GCTATTACCACGGTAAGAGCTAAAATTCTGTGTGTCTGTGTGTATTGAGTCAGTTGCTTCAGAAAAAAATTCTGGGTATTTCTCTGCAATTTTGGTACTGCAACCAGAGGTAGTACCTTTGTCTCATTGATGTGTAAAGCCCAAAACCTCTTCTTCAGGACAAAAACATGCATTCTTCCACAGAACTCAACTTTTATCCTGTTCTATCATAATTTAATGGTCAGGGGAGTGGGAAGTCCATGCCCTAAGTGCCAGGCAACAGCAGAGGCTGGCACTAGCCCTTCAGCTCCTCCTGCAAGGGCTGCAACTTTGCACAGCAGAGTGTGAGAGTCCTGGTGAGGCTGAGCACAGCAGGAGCATGAGAGCATTATCTGTTTGTGGGGACATTCACCTAACGGGAGGAAAAGGGGTGCTCCAGTCCCTCTTCAAGTTTCTTCTCTGTTTTATGTATCAATAAAATGTAGCACTGAATGTAAGATATACTGCCCTAAGGCATTAGCAAGCTGTCGAGGGAGCTTTCCTGAGAAGTGAGTGTATCCATACCTTCCCTCTCAGGCAGAGGATTAAATCTAGTTGGCTTGCTTCTTACCAAGTACACCAACCGTTTAAATGTTCACAGCTCAAATTATTTTTCTGCGCTCTTTTTTTTTGTTTGTTTGGTTTTTTTTTTTGTTTTTTTGTTTTTTTTTTTTTTGCTAAAGGAAACTACCCACAGGTAAATTTCTGGCATGCATAAGGCTGAATGAGAGTTAGGCAGAGAATTTTAAAGTCAGGAGGGTTTATGATGGGCACAGGGCCAGCTGATGCAGTCTAGAATAGGGGACATCTCAAGAGGTCACAGTTTGGCATTTTGATACCCACACAAAAAATTGGAGACATTTCTAGGAAGTCCAAAGTATAATTGTGAATTATGTCCTCTGTCCATCCATGATTTAAGCTAGTCTAGGGGAAAAAAAAATATTGTGGGTTATTATTATGATCATTTACAGAGTAATAGGAGCTACTGAAGTAACAGATGAGCCTATTGCACCTAGCAGTATGTCGGAAGCCTTTATCAAATTAAGTCTTATTGGAGATAACAATGATCCAAAGTTGTTTTAACATGAATTATCCTGCTCTAACAAACTGAGTTGGTGGTTTTAGTCTTCTTTAGTAATCAGCACTCCTGTTGCAAAAGAAGATTTTCTGAGTGGATTAAAGAAGAACAGTTTATTCTTGCCTCTGCTTGAGTAACTGGAGAAAGGTATATGTAACCAAAGGCATTGTTACAATATATAGTAATATAGAAGTTACAGTCATTAACCTCTGCTCAAAAATTAAAGGCTCAGATTGAAAGAGTTGTGAGTTTTAGCCTTTCCAGCAGTCCTACATTCCCAAATAAAAGGTAGAACTTCAAAAATGATTAAAACAAGTATTTCCTTTGTTTCTCGGGGTGGAAGAATGGCTGCCTTCTCATTTGCAACACTTTCTGTGTGCAGGTTTTGCACTTTCATTTGAGCTTTGAATGCAATTCAAATCAATATGTCAATAAAACTCTTCACTTTCCTTTAGCTGTACTTGTAACTAATGCCACTGTCAACTATATCAGTGCAATTCCTGGAAAATAGTTTCTGGCTACCTTGTTCTTCCTTTGTAGGCTGGGTGGCTGCCTGCATGTTCATGTGGAGCCACAGCACAATATTTGCTATTGTTCCCTGGCTTTATTTTTATTTTTAATTCATCAATCTCACAAAACAGACTTGTTTCCTCAGTTTACATTTGTCCTGTTCTAATAGGTTTAGCATTTTAAATTGCTGACACATTATATAGCCTCCATAAAGTGGAAAGCATGTTCCGGGTCTGACATAATCATAGATTCTTTGCTGCACCTTCCCACTGAGGTAAATGGATATCTTTCTTTTGGACCTATAAATGCACCATGAACTCTGAGGGAACATAAGATGTAAAACTTGAGCTTGAACTGAGTAATGTGACTGAAGAAGTAAGTTTTATTCAGTATGCCGTAGTTTGTTGCCAGCAACAGAGACATGAATACCTGAAGATATCTGTATTTATTCTCTGTTTTTGAGAACAGAGCATGTCTGTGTGACTGAGCAGCCATACGGGAACACTTTGGACTTGTCACTGCAGCAACAGATCTTAAAAAACAGAGTGCTTTGGTTCTTCCCTCGTGACCATCACTGCTACAGCTCCCCATACTCCATACTCTTACTGTAGTGAGATTTTGTAATCTGTGTCAGCCCTTTAAAATGGTATCTAAAGATCCCATGTGAAGCATTCATCAGAACAAACAAGTTAATTATCTTCAAAGACAAAAAGCACCCCATTTTGCAGTGTCAAGCAGACACCGGAATACAGAATCTAATACCGACTGAAGCTGTTTCTTTAACATGTTACTCCAGAAACACCTGTCTCACTGTACTTCTTTTAATCTAGTTTGTTCCTCTTTATGCTACTTTGAAGGGCATTGATGCTGCTAGTAGTCTTGTCCTTATCTAAATTCATGTTAATAGAGATGTTGTGAGCTATATTAGTTTTGGCCATGGTGGTTTATCTTTTATAACACAGATTTTTCATTGTAATGAAATGGTGAGAACGAATCAGCTTGTTGATCTCAACATAAATGACTTCCCTGAAATCATATTTTAAACAGCACACATCATTATCTCCTACCCTTTCTCCTCTTAACAGAAAGCTTTCATTTGGAAGTATAGTACTCTGCATTCACCTCGTTCTCTTATCCTGGTAGATAACTATATCAAGCAGGAACCAAGAGCTACGAAGTAAAACTGTGATAGCCAGAAAGTTTGATTGCACTATATTAATTTATTATTAGGTGGAATTGCAAAACTGGTGTTGGGACAGTGTAAGTGTAGATTAAAGTTCCTGAGGTTAGCAATTACTTCTATGTTGTGTTCTGGAAATTTAGGAATGGTAAGAATGGCTGTAATGAGCTGGAGTAAAGATTGGCTTGGTTGAACAGTCTAGGAGCTTCCTAGACTAATTTTTCTAGTTCAGCCCTGGAAAAGGTCAAAGCAGATAGCTTTCACTGCAGTGGCAGTGGTGGAGTATGGCAAGATATGGTGATTGCTTGCTATTCATACAGTGATAGTGTTCAATTCAGAAAGAGACCACACAGTCATCTTTTGGGGTTTTAGAGGATTTGAACCAGACATGTAAGTCAACTGTAGCAGGAAATTTGAAGAGTTCTTTTCCCCAAAGACAGTTTTCCCCATTGCATGCATGAGTCAGAAAAAGACTTCCCAATGTCACTCACAGAAGCATTACAGAAATTACCAACATCCAAATCACAGAATGGTTTGGGTTGGAAGGGACCTTAAAGATCACCTAGTTCCAACCCCCCTGCCACTGGCAGGGTCACCTTCCTCCAGCCCAGGTTGCTCCCAGCCCCGTCCAACCTGGCCTTGAACCCTTCCAGCGAGGTGGCAGCCACAGCTGCTCTGGGCACCCTGGGCCAGTGTCCCACCACCCTCACAGTGAAGAATGTCTTCTTTATCTCTAATTTAAATCTACCCTCTTTAAGTTTAAAACAATTACCCTTTGTCCTGTCACTACCCTCCCTCATAAAGAGTCCCTCCCCACCTTCCCAGTATCCCCCTTTAAGCACTGGAAGGCCGCTCTAAGGTCTCCCCAGAGCCTTCTCTTCTCCAGGCTGAACAACCCCAGCTCTCTCAGCCTGTCCTCACAGGGAGCTGCTCCAGCCCCTGACCATCTTTGTGGCCTCCTCTGGACCCCCCCTGAGCAGGTCCATGTGCTTCTTGTGTTGGGGCCCCAGAGCTGGACACAGCACTGCAGGGGGGTCTCACGAGAGCAGAGCAGAGGGGCAGAATCCCCTCCCTCGACCTGCTGCCCACACTGCTCTTGAGGCAGCCCAGGACACAGTTGGATTTCTGGGCTGTGAGCGCACATTGCTGGCTCGTGGTCAGTTTTCCATCCACTAACGCCCCCCAAGCTCTTCTCCACAGGGCTGCTCTCAATCCACTCATCACCCAGCCTGTGTTTGTGCTTGGGATTGCCACGACCCATGTGCAGGACCCTGCACTTGGCCTTGTTGCACTTCTTGAGGTTTGCATGGGCCCACCGGTCCCTCGGGATGGCATCCCTGCCTTCCAGCCTGTCGACTGCACCACACAGCTTGGTGCCGTTGGCAAACTTGCTGAGGGTGTGCTCAGTCCCACTGTCCATGTCACCGACAAAGATGTTAAATGGGATATGCAAAATACACACCTTTTATTTATTTTTTTTTCCCCACTGAAAGTTACATGTTTGTTCAGATTAAGTGTACCTCTGACATCAGGAAATTATTGAAATGAGCTGCAGGAACAACAGCTGGGGGAAAAATGGAGGGACATACACCAGATGTAGTTTCTTTCCAGCTCTTTTTCACAAGAAACATTGCAGAGTCTCTTCCATGAACTGCTGCATTATCAGTGGGCAAAAAAGAGAGTAAGGGAGTAAAATGTGCTAAATAACACGGCCCTTGCTCAGGGTCTTTACAGGCTGAAAACACATAGGTCAAATTCAAATCTAGTGTAAGGCTAGGGTCTTCTTGAGGTTGTGCCTGTTTATATTACAGCAGGTTTGGCTCACGATGTTGCATGTTCAGCTTTCACAGAGATGATACCCAATAGCTGAAGGGGTTTTTTTCTTCTGCCTTAATCCTGCAAATATTTGTTTCTGAAGTATTTCTACTCTCAGAATTTCTATTGTTGAAGAGCCTCATCTGTGAGGAGGGTTGGAAGAGTCCAGCCATAAGGCAGTACTATCTTGGGGTACCATGTGAAAAATAGCCTATTTTCCCATCTGACAGAACACTTAACCACATGTCTGCAGGTGAGAAGAGGAATCCTGCTGAAGTCCACAGTGCCACAGAGGACAGAGCCGACGTTGAGCTGCTGCTCAGGGTGGGGCTTTGAGTCACGTTCACCCCCAGCAGCCAGGAGGTAGGGTCAGGCGTTAGTTCCTGCAGCTCACCCTCTGCTCCGTGGCCGAGCTCCCGCAGCTCCTAGGAGGAATGGATGTGAACTTGGTCACTGTTTTGGCTATTCTAGCAGTCGCAGTTAGTCAGACGTCTGAGAGTAAGTAAAATTGTGCTTTATTTACATACTTTAATCTCCTAAAAGTAGAAGGAAAAAAGATCCAAAGGATGTCTACCTGGCATTGTGTCTGCTTAACCTTTGCAGCTCTGTATGGGACCACAGATGATAGCTTAAAGGTCTGTGCTGTAGCATGGGAAGATTAAAAAAGTGAAACCTGGATGTTGTAAACTACACAGAACAATTAGCATTTGTTTCAGGGAAGTCAGGTCTTCACCTAAGCATTTCCTCGATGTTGCCACAACAAATCTGGGGACTTCATGATTCTGTAAAATGGCTTAAGCAAGGAAAAGCCAAGTGGGTTATTTGTCATAGCAAACATTATCAAGAACATCATAGTGGAGAGATTTTAACTGATGAAGACAGAAGATCTTTAAAGCAGTAATTTCCTGAGGGAACACCTAATAAAATTTCACTATTTCTTTAAAGGGATCTCTCTAGTTCAGCTGCAGTTTCCTCCTTTCCAAGCTTCTTGAGAGGGAATATGTTTAGAAAAACACTTGGTCTTTTTCCTTTAAAGTTAAATCACAACTTTTTATGACAAACTTCATGTAACTGATTTCTTTCAGGAGAAGAGCATGCAGCTTTGCTCTGCGTTTGTTGCAGCATGTGTCAAGGATTCAGGACATCTAATAACACTTGCCTTTATCTTCTTGCATTTTCATTAAAATTTTTAAATTTTCAAAACAAATGAGCCAGTGCTGCTCTTGAATTCACAGTTTTTCTTTGTAAGTTTCTACTGTAAAATAAGCTGTGATCACAGAGAAAATAACTCAAATTCTGAAGCACTTGAGGTTTTAAGATGCTCCTTTCTCAAGCTCTACTGGCTTCAGTAGAAGTAGGAATTGTGGAGTTCCTAGAGGATTAGGACAACATGTGAACAAAACCTGCCTTAAAATTTTATCCTGTTAAAATGGCCACTGCACCTGCTGATGTGGGAAAGGCTCTGTAAGTTCTTTCCTATTAGATTTATGATCTGGCCAGTCAGCAAGGTCTTGCACAATAGAACTGGCACACACATGCACAGGTCAAAGTAAAGGTTCTCTTAGAACACATTCTTTTATACTGAACCGTCTGGCACAGGGAAAATACGTTTACCACCTAAATTTCCTCATGCAAACATGCTCCATACTTAGCAACAATATTCAAATGGCAGAACCTACAATAAAAATGGGCAGAACTGAATGTAGCTCTCTGGGTGCTGGCACACCCTACCCTGATCTGAACTATATTTAAGGTCAGGCTTCTTAGGCTGGCCATTATGCATCCCTTTATTTCAGGGTCACGGTACATATATGCAAGTAAGATTTGGGCTGGTACATGCAAACTTGCAAGTTTCCTTTGCTGGTGTGAGCTGCTGGCTGTGGACAGAGGCCAGGAAAGGCATCTGGTGGCCACAGGCAGGAATGTAGCCTTGCCCAGAAGTGCCAGAAAATGAGATCAAGTTTATTTTGTAGAGTGTGACAGGGATTTTTTATGTTTTTATTTTCTGTAATATAATTCAAAAAAAGTTTTTCAATTTTACTTTAAAAAAACCCCAATACCTGGTAGTCATCATCTCATCTCAGTGCCAGGGGTTTTACTGAGTGCCAGATGCTGTCACATCTGCAGCGAAGTGGGCAGCATTGCATGACACAGGATGCAGCAGGTTTGATAAAGGAACTTATTTCAAGGGTGGTTGGTTTGAATTTCAATTTGGGAAGACAAAGTTCTTTTTCAGAAGCTCCTACATGTATTTCATATTGAAGATATAAAGAGAGAAATTTGGTAACTCCAATACAGCAAAAGCATCCAAAACAAGTGTTGAATGCTACAGGGTAGGAATAGCATCTAAATAAGATTGTCTGGGTCTTCCTGAAGGAATTATCTGGAGTTGTCCTAGTCAAGTTATTTCAGTAATGATGGTCTGGTCAGAGTGAGGGTGATCTGTGCAGTGTGGGAGATGGGTTCACTCTTAACAAATTGCATTGCTTTACAGAAAAAAAATAGATGTATGTTCACATGACAGCTTCTTTTTGCTTCTTAATGTGCAATACACTACGTGCTTTGGGTTTGCTAGTAATAGCAGAAATTTTACCTTCTGTTAAGGCACTGGATACTAGTGCTTTTTTGACCACATCAATATTAAATGCTGCTTTGTCAATTTTCAGCCTGCACTTCCTTGATGCTCTGTAGTCCAGGGCATCAAGAACATTCTGTGGGGACAGACAGCTTGTAAACTGATAGTGGTTTGGTGGACAAAGACCCATTTAAATATCATAACCTATATCATATGCCCATTTGTCCATCTCCAGTTAGTCTTCCAGACTTGAAAATGTTCATATTAACAGCAATCCTCATAGCAGAACAGGAAAAGCATCTCAGTATAACTTAATTTGTACTTATTCCTGGCCACAAAATTATATAGCATGATTCATATATTTATATATTATGATTTATACTTTATTTACAGTTATTTCCACCACTTCAGCAGGTATAGCTCAGAACCCATTCTACCTTTTGTTGATCTCTTTCTCAGAATTATGCTTTAACTGTGTGTATTACCACGCAGTCAAACTTGTATGATGCATTAGAGCATTTTTCAGTATATGAGTTCCTCTCTCATCTCCAGCTATTAAGCAACCTCCTTGTTTTTATGAAGTAGTATGCTACATCTGCCAAAGATTCTAGCATCCTGCTTTGTTCACCTGCCAACCAAGATAAGAGCCTTCTGCCTAATGAAATAGTTATTGACTTGCTTTAGGTTAAGATGAAAAGACCTACTCTGAGGCACTGAATTTGTAAAATAGCCTCAAGTTTGGTTTAGATGAGAGAAACATTTTCTGGCAGCTTCATGAGTAATTGTGTACTAAGTGAGCTGTCTTACTGTAGTTAATATAAAACGTAGGTGATGTGATAAATTTCTTTCCAAGGATTCTATGTTCACAAGCCAGCAACACTGGATTAACAAATGAAACTTCTCTATGAAAATGGCTGTACTGAGATCAGAGCAGTTCAGTACATATCATGTTCCAAGTAAGCAAGACGTTAATCCGATAAATCAATGTAAAGGGTTCTTTTTCCCATATGTACAAAGCCTACTTTGTTACCACAAAAGAATTCCACTGGGAAACACTAATGCCTGCTACTAATAGCCCCAGGTGTGCCAAAGTTGTGCAACTGGTGCAGAGCTGCATCAGTTCACAGTGAGCTTGACACACATTTGCAGCAGGTCTCATATTTCATCGTAGATACAGAAAGTGCCTCAGGTTTATGGATCTCACGGTGCAAGAGAAGCTGTCCCTCAGACCACACAGTGTGTTGGGGGAACCCATTCAGCTTAATAACTATATGCATCTTTTCTGGGCAACCTTAGTTTGTGTAAGTGCAAGAACTCTCTTTCTGATTTTTTTTTTTTTGTTACATAGAAGAACATCTACAGCACAGACTTTCATTCAGCAGTCCATGGGTCACATCCAGCTGAAGAAGGTCAGCTAGATAGTCTGCCATCAGCACTGCAAGCTCCTCTGTGCTGCCAGTAGGATTCAGGAGGGACACCAAAATACTAGCTGCTGGAGTGAAACCTGTCAGGATAAGAGCTGCACAAGGCCTGCCTAAGGCAGCTGGTGCAGAGACAAATGGTGACAGGGATCAAAAATGCCTTTCTCACTGTTCTCACCTAGATCCCAGCTTTTCCTATCATGTTTAGTCAAAAGAAGCCCAAACAAAACCAAGCATATATAAGAGCCAGCACAGGGGTGGGGAACACAGTGGCTCTATCACTCACCATCTATCTCCATGTGGCTTCATCTCCTCTATATTCTCCATCTGGCCTCCCTTCATGAGGCAAAGACCTGGCTTGCTGTGTTAAATTTTCTACAGAATAGCCTGGCTGAAGCAATAACTGCTGTGTTTCTCCTCACCAGTGGTCTGCCCGACCCATATTGGGACATTAACCCAGTCCTACCTGCCTAAGAACTGCAGCCAGGCAGCAGCAGAACAGCCACTGGGTACTCCCACCATATGCCATAGGAGGGCTCTTCATCAGAAACTACCGTTTCCCTGAATAGGTAGGCAAATCTAAGAATATCAGCTCGAAATTGAAGAAGGAGGGGAATGCTCTTTGTTGCCCCAGAAACTGAACAGGCAGCAGTAACTGCTTTTATTACTTCTTGCCTGAACCCTAGATGACATGGCCGTCCTCAGCTCTTTAACATGTGGTTCTCAAGTTTGAGAACGATAATGAAAAAAGCAAAGCAGAAAGGATGATAAAAGTTTCTATAGACTGAGTTTGGCAAGGTAGCAGATAGGAAATGGAAAAAGAAACTTTCAGCAGTCAAAGAGACTTGATACTTATCAACAGAAGTGTAAAGACAGATATAATGACCAGTACTCACGGAGGTCTTGTTCCATCAGAGCTGTTGTTTTTGCTGTGCTTCATTCTCTAGCACTCCACTTCAATCACATCAATTCAAACTCACCGAGTCTCACAGACTTTGGGGATCTTTTCCATTTAGGAACAACATTTTACTAAAAGAGCTTCTATCAAGTCTAGCTGAATGCAGGTGAAAACAGTAATCTCTAGTTGCCAACTGCTTTTTATCCTTTCAGCCCTAAGAAAGTGACTGGCTACTATGCCACCAAGATTTGATAGGCTTCCAAGGAAACAAACCACCGTGGGAAGTTTAAATTAAGTTCTTGTGCTACATTCCTTGAACAACAAGCACTGTTTCAAAATAATTCAGAAATTCAGGGTTTTTCTTTTTTTTTTTTTTAAGAAAAAAACAAGTGTTTTTTTTTTTTTCAGATGTGCTAAACAGCTTATTCTCTGTAGAAAGAAAAAGTTTATTTTCTCTCCACTTCTTTTGAAATTGATAAAGCTACAAATAATGTGTTAAATAAATCCAGTATAATTAAAAGATCAGCATTATTGTATTCCACAAACCACATGCATCTGAAAAGGAGGTCCTTTTTAGGCATCCTTGAGAGAGAAAGTGGGATAA